ATGTGCCTGCAACCCAGGTACATGCCCTTGACCGGAATCGAACCCGGGACCCTTCAGTCTGCAGGCCGATGCTCTATTCACTGAGCCAAAACAGCTACAGCTGTAGTGTGCATCTTGATGCACAATATGGTTCACCACCACCACCACGACACACCAATAAAACCAACTTATTGAAATAATATCTTAGTCTCCTGGCCTGTACAATGGAGTTTGGAAAATATGCTTCCAGTTATATAAAATTACTAGTAGATGATTTACTCTAGTTCTTTGAATGAGAGAATCCTATGCTTATTATAAATTATTTTTGAATATTTTCCTCATTGATGGTAAAGAAACTAGCTTCATTGTTTTCTTTTGTTATAAACAAGAACTCTAAAACTGAGGGTTTATCTAAATTATGTAATTCCTTCCTCATCAAGGTTAGCCCCAAATACCTTCAACTTGCATTTTGGCTTGGTTTTCAGGATTCCTCTCTCCCACAGCCTGGATTTTAGGCTTAATGAAAATGGACACTTGGATTTTAGGGTGATGATCAGAGGGCTTGGGCTGAGGCTATGTAGTGAGCACAGCTTCTTGACACCCCACCCCCACCCCCATTTCCTCCTGGGTGTTGGGGCAATGGTATCCTCCCTGCCCAGGGTGAGGTCAGTTGCAGGAAGCTCCAAGAGCAAAGTCACCAAGCTTCTTATACCCCCAACCACGTCACTCGAAACCTCCCGAATAACTACTTCATATGATGGTAAAGGCAGCCATGTAGGTACCTGATTACTTAAAACTTCTAGCTTCCAGGTGCAGTTTCCTCCCACATTTTTGTGCAATCGGCCATAGCTAACGATAACGACTGAGTATCACTACATGGTCACATCACAACTGCACAAGGATGACTGGGCACATTCAGTAAGTTTTCTTGTGAGGCATGAGGGCTGGGAGGAACTCAGCATAGCAAGCCTGACAGGGCTTCCCAACACCCTGTGCTCTATGCTAATTTAAGAAGTTTCCAGGTGGAGGAAGAACTTTCATCAGTAGCTCAATCAGCAAGGTACCCTTGAAATGGAAAAGAAGGATGCTTACATTTATTGAATTCCTACATAACTGTCATAAAAAACCATGAGAGCTCAGCACTCTTGTCTCTAGGTTATAGCTGAAAAAACAAATTTAGTGAGTTTAACTAATTTGCTCAAATTCCAAGGCTGGTAAATCCTCTTATTTTTCTGAATTAGGAGAATAATTTTGAGTTCTAATTGGGATGGTTGGAACACAGAACATAATGTTTAAATATTAGCCCTCTCCTGCTAACATCCCTGTGGTAGATATAAGGGGAGCATGTCAGCCCTGTTCCAACCATCTAGTTAGGGAGACTAATACAAAGGAGCATGCAAGACAAAAATGTCCCAGGCAGTTAATTTAGGTGCTAAGAAATGACATAAAGAAGAAATACTTGGGTCTTTAAAATACCCAGATTAATTTGGTACTTATTTGGCATCTAGAATGATATAGAAACTCTACTTCACATAGAAAGGACAGCCTGGCTAGTGTGACTCAATGTTTGAGTGTCATGGTTCCATTTTGGTCAGGGCACATGCCCAGGTTGTGGGCTTGATTGCCAGTAGGGGGTGTGCAGGAGGCAGCCATCAATGATTTTCTGTCATCGTTTCTATCTCTCCCTCTCCCTTCTTCTCCGAAATCAGTAAAAAAAAATATTTAAAAAAAAACCCACATAAGGACAAAGAACAGGATTTGTAGCTGTGAGCACTTGAAACAGAGTTTATCCTTGTATTATCATTTATTAAGTATTGTATTGGTTTCCATATGAACAACTGTAAAGCTACTTTTGCCCCACCCTGCATATTGTTTACTTGGCTTTGAATTTTTGAAATAGGTTTTTATTTAGGTTCCACTTTTGGAATCCCCAGTTTCCAAGAACATGAAGCAATTGGTGGCTAGAATTCGGCCTGCTCGGGCCATGGAAGCTCTTGAGGTGTTTGTTTCCACGTTCCCGCCCATCACTGCCCGTACAGGGTTGAGCAGGAAGTTGCCAAGGCTCACCTCCTGGTCTCTTCATCTCCCCAGGGTAAAAGAAAGGGGGGGCACGATACTCACCCGGCGAATAGAAGACCTGTGGGAGCTTCACCCGTCCTTCGACATCGTGGTCAACTGTTCGGGCCTTGGAAGCAGACAGCTTGCTGGAGACTTGGAGATCTTCCCCGTGAGGGGCCAGCTACTTAAAGTTCAGGCTCCCTGGGTGAAGCATTTTATCCGAGATGGGAGTGGACTGACATATATTTACCCCGGTGTATCCAACGTAACCCTGGGTGGCAGCAGGCAAAAGGGAGACTGGAATCTGTCCCCAGATGCAGAAATTAGCAGAGATATTCTTTCCCGATGCTGTGCTCTGGAGCCCTCCCTCCACGGAGCCTGGGACATAAAGGAGACGGTGGGCTTGAGGCCCTACAGAGCAGGTGTCCGGCTGCAGAAAGAGCTCCTAGCCCGGGATGGCCGGAGGCTGCCTGTGGTCCACCACTATGGCCATGGGAGCGGGGGCTTCTCCATGCACTGGGGAACGGCTCTGGAGGCCACCAGGCTGCTAAAGGAATGTGTTCAAGCCCTCAGGGCCCCCGCTCCCAAGTCAAAGATGTAAGTGACATGAAATGACAGCAAATGGCCCAGGAGACTACTGACCAACATAATTTCTGATACAATGTGTATGAGTAGATTTGGAACTAGTACTAATCTAATCTGGTGCTATTCTGGTACTAGATTTACATCTATTACTAATCACCTGGAACATAAAGCTCTGTTTCTACTAAAAATAAAGATTTTGATAAAAAAAGATTTCTTTTAGATCTAGTGTCCAAGAATCTATGTTCATTTACGTGGATGCTGGAAGCTGTAGGGATTTCGACATCTTTGGCTCATAAATCCACAGGAGGAGATACGGCACGGGAGCCACTGAGCTCACTGCCAGTGGCAGAGCTGCCCATGATGCTCCCTGGTTGTGGTCGAATGAGATTAAAGTCCTTGTAAATAAAATTACACGGGGATCACGCGATACAAGTTTATTACAGTTAATGAAAGACAAAGCATGACTCCTGCTAGAAGAATTCCTGGTAGAAGACACAGTGGCATCAACTCCATAGCTGTCTGGGGTCAACTCCCTGAGGGCCATACTTTGCATTACCATGAGCAATTGAGAGCTGGATTGTTGTATGGTGGACTGTGCCCAAGCATTTTTGAAGATTGAATAGAATGTGCAGCCAAAGAGCTAATTTGCTAATTAATATGGAACAATCCTTCTGAATGAAATATAACCAGAGTTTTTTTGCAAGTTTTAAAAAAAAGTTCTGGGGAGGAGGGGTTGTGTCTCATGATAAAATGAGTTTGGGGATTAAATATATCTGACTGGTTTCTTGACGCAGGCCTACTCAGAGCCTTTCATCTGTTCATGTGTATTATGAATTCTCAGGAGGGTTTGGTTTGAGTGAATGGCAAAGGAGATGCTCTTCGTTGAGATAAGGAAGCTTGGGAGAAACAGGGGTGATTTTAATTTGGGGGGGAAGATGGCGTGTGTTTAGAGATGAATTCTATTTTGAATACTCTGAGGGAGATGTGGGGTTGGCAATGAGAATGTGGGAAAGAGAAAGCCTCTAGTACAGTTTTATTTTTGCTTTTTTGTTCACTGAGCTTTTGCATCTGATTTTGTTTGAGGAAAAAATACTGCTGGGAGAGAGAAAGAAGATGTATGGGAGAGGCTCTGGTTGGGACAGGGGCTGGGATGGTGGAGAAAACATTCTATAGATTTCCACCAGGGGGTGGTATTGTATTAAATTCAGATAAATTGGCAAATCTGAAATTTAGAAACGACTGGAAATAAAAAATGGATACCAGGTGATTTGAGCGAATATGTGATTCTTTTGAGTATATATGCCCCAAATGCCTGTTGTTCTGAATTCTGTGTCAAGTATTTGATAAATGTACAAACTTAGATGAAATACATACAGACACATGAGCACACACTCTCATTACATGAAATCTATGAGAAATAATGTTATGATAAAATGGCATTTTAAAGAAGGGGAAATACATTTTTAATGGTTAGAAATAAAAATGAAGAATGCTGCTCAGAACAGGTAGTCTTTCCATCACTTTCATGATGGTTTGAAGTGTTTTGAATTTGTTGCTTATGGCCCAGTTTCAATAATGCTGCATTTTCATGTCATGTAGGCAGGCTCACACTCTATGACACGGTCTACTTGCTACTCTCAGAGTTTAGTTTCACTCTGTATTTTATATTTCTAACGCCCAACATTACAAGACTGAAAGATTGGAGGCTTCCTGAGAAAGTGGTCATGGCTGCAGCGCTGCTTCATTTTTACTAGTGGCTAAGAATGTGCTCCCAGTATTGCTCAAAGGTTTCGGTCACTAGCTGCCAACCGGGCTGCACATTAGAATCCTCTAGGAAGTTTAGGAAAAATATTGATGTCCAGCCCTACTCTATTAAATTAGAATCTTTGGAGGTGGGGTGGACTGTAATATCGGTATTTGCTCAGTACCACTAGCCTTCCCTTCCTTTCTCGCCTTCTCGGGGCATCGTCCCGGGGATGTGCTCACATAAGCAGGGATGTCATAGGTACTCTGGGCAAGGTGGTCAAGCTGTCTCCCAAAGTGGGTCTCTAGAAACGCCGGGAATCACCTCGCTACCTGTAGACAGCTCTCTGCCTTTGTCTGAAAGATGAGAGACAATTTTCAAACGGGCGATGGCCGTTTGTAAAAATAGAACGCTGACCCACAGCTTGCAGCAGCCTGTCCAGGAAACCTTATTTATAATAGCCGGCCCCAGGAGCCAGCCTGCTATAGGTCAGATTTGCAGGAAGCCGGGTTGCTATCTTTAGTAATAATCCAGAAAGCTACACCATCATTTCTGAAACAATTGGCCCCAAATGGCCAGGAACTTGATGAATAACTGACAGGTCCCCTAATTTTTGTTCCATTTCTAACGTAGGACCAACCAGAGAAAGCTCAATATGCTCTCCTAACCAATCACAGTGGACGCCTTGCTTCTTGTTGGCCATCTACAGCTTCCCAGGGTGGCAGCCTCCACTCAGGGCACACCTGCAGTTCCTTTTTTCACTATTAAGCTTCCAATTCCTCTGCCTGCCTTGAAGTGATGGTGGCTGACTCCTTTACTAAAGCAAGCCCTGAATATAGCCGTTGCTTTTCTCATGTGGCTGGCCTTTCCTTTCCTTTTCTTTCCTTTCCTTTCCTTTTCTCTTCATTTATTTTGTTTTTATTCCACAAAGATTTCCTGAGGTCTCTGGGGATCTGTGCTAAGGCCTGAGAATGGACTACTTTGCTGTTTGTTTTTTCCCCGTTTTCTATTACAGACCATTAAAAACTTATTTTTTTCTGAACATGGAGAACAACTGATTTCTTTCTTAAATCCCCGTGTTTGACACAGTGTCTAGCATTTGTGCCTGAGCTCTGACCTGCTGCTCCTGTGACCTAGAGCGACGCGGCAGCTGTGAGGGCACCGGTGTTGGGGGCACGGAGCTTCTTCAGCAGAGGTTATGGACACACTTTCAGGGTTTATTCACTTAGGAAGGAAAGAAGCTGTACAGAAAGGCCATAGCCCAGTAGAACACGATAGAAGAAAGGCTATTTTTAAAAATTATAAATGTTATAGTCTTCCTTTTATTGGATAGATTCATTCAAACCAGTTGCTATTGAAACCAATTTTTTTCTCACCCCATTAAGAGCTTTTATAGAAAAGAAGGGGAAAAAAATGATGATGGGACCTGTGTCCTCTGGGAGTTGTAGTTCTGGGAAACCTGGTCCAGGACTCTCAAGAATGTCAGGTATTTGAAAATAATGTAATGTTACCCCCCGCCACCCCTTTTTTCTTTTCCCCATAGCATAGCAATTTTTTTCTTGATTACTCTCATCTTTCTTCTTGGGGTTGTGAACGATGGAGGCACATAGGAAACCTGTTTCCTCTGGGTGTCATTCACTTAGGAAAAGCCGATTGAAATGTTCAAGCGGTCCCTTTCTTCTTGAAAAATCTCAGCAGTTTGCCATGAGGCCTGGGGGCTTTATTGTCCCAAGTGGCTGTGCCGCCTATAAATCATAGCCCTAAGCAGCGAAAGGAAACGAGTTAACCAGATCCCAGAAAATATGTAACCAGTGTTTCTTCAATTATTAGCAGAACAACTGACTCCCATCTGCTCAGAGCACCTGCCGACCTGGCCTGCAGCCACATTACCCACAATTCCACCGCCCGGAGCCCGTTTCTCTTGAATTGTCATTTTACCCTGGTGCATGTTCTGTGATATCAGCCCACGCCAAAACTTTTCATGCATTCTAGGATTTCTTTTCCATACAGACCCAAGCTGTCTGGCAATGGAACTCGGGGATTGTGGTGAAACACCATACAGTTTGCCTACTCTGTTCAGGGCCCTTTTCCTAAATCTGCTCAGACCTGGAAATTCACTACCTGGTATGTCTTGTGTCCTGCCTCTCTGGTCACAGCTTATTGGGTCACAGGAAACCATCGGTTTCAAACCCCAAATAGTTGGCATGTATTTCTCTCTGGACATAGGCAGTCCAGGACTGTCGTCAGGACCTCATCAGTGGCCCAGGCTGTTCACATTCAGCTATCTCCAGGATGTGGCTCTTGTGCTCATGGCTCCAGGATGGCGGTGGGAGCTCCAGCCAGCACACCACCACATCTACCCGCAAGGAAACTTCCCAGAAGACTCGTGGAGCACATTTGCTTATATGTCACTGCATGGGATTCAGCCTCAGGCCTACACTGAGGTTCAAGGGAAGCTGGGAATGTAGTCCATTGGCTTTTGACAATGGGAAGTCCAAGGTTTGAGCAGACTCTGCTAAAAGTATGAAATTATAAATACGGTTGAGACAGTCAGGCCCTTAAGAATTTGTACTAAAGGATTGTGTTTCCTAGTACTGGTAGGCTCTGGAGACCTGGAAACTTGAGCTGACAGTCCAAGTTGTTCAGGTTTACACAGAGGAAGTCAGGTAAGAAAGACAGGCAGAGAAAAGCAGAGCGCTCCGGTCCCACCATCCCCTGAGATTCTGATTTATTGGGTCTGGAATCTATATTATTTACTTATTTTTATGGAATTTATTGGGGTGATATTGGTTAATAAATTACGTAGGTTTCAGGTATACAATTCTATAATACATATACATGAAATCTATATGATAAAAAAGCTCCCCAGGTGATTCTGATGTAAAAAAATCAGAATCAGGGTGTCTCAATCCTGGATCCACATTAAAATGACCATGGTAAGGGAGTGGGGAGCTTTTTAAAAATATTACTGCTATCCCTGCTCAAGAGATGCTAATTCTGTTGGTCTCGAGATGGGTCCAGGTATCAGATTTTTGTTTTGTCTTGCTCTCCAGGTGATGCCCATGCACAGTCAGGATTAAAGATCTCTGGTCCAGACAGCCAAATGGGATTTTTGTTTAAGGAAGTTACTGTAACCCACATTTGAGTGAGTGCAAAAGTAAGGCAGAACATGGGAGACCAGACATATGGAAAGTGCTATGGGTGGGCTAGGTGAACAGCAGGATGCAGGGATCAGTGAGGGAAGGGCTGAGCTGAGACAAGGTATCAAGCTCGCCAGAAGATCTTCTGGCCAATGTAGTTTCCAGACACAGGACTGATGTTCTTATCTTCTATCTTGTTCCTCTCCTACTAGGAGCCAGATCCCAGGCACAACATACCTGGAAGCTGCAGAGACCTTAAAGGCAGGGAAGAGACATGGTAGCTGCTCTCTTACCAGACAGCAGCCTTACACTCCTGCGTGGTCCCAGTAGACTAATGCCAGTGGAATGTGCAGACCTGGATGGGGCAGGGGGGGGGGGGCGTTAATGGACATACCGGCTTTGATTCTAGGAAAATTTTCTTCATGCTTATTCTTTCTTGCTTGTAAGATAACTCAACTGCCTGAGAATGCAGGCCATGAATGTATTCTCTGTGGTATACGCAAACTGA